TTAATAATCTTGTAAAGTCACTTTTTGACATCACCCAACGTCAAGGACCATCTTATTGAGATCCAAACAATAATAAAGATGTAGACAGAAAATAAAATGTATATTTGAGCTTCCTCTGTCGTTTTCATGGAAATTTCAGTTAATTTTTTATCAACATTTTTCCAACAGATGAAGTGTAACCTACTCAGACAAGAGAACTGTTGCAGGAAGGTGAAGTGTAAACGTTAGAGGCTGATATGTTTGTTTATTTATTTATTTAAACATAATTTTACACGGAGGAATAACCACTTGAGATGAAACATCTCGTTTTCGAGTGGGTCCTCCTTAACATCAAAAAGAACAACAAAAATTAAGAGCAAGACAGCAGAGCAAAAATCAAAATCAAAACATTACAACAATCATTTACAGACACACACACACAAACCCTCAAAGGCTCACAATACTTCACCCCACACCACACGACCCCAACTAACAAGGGCAAAACAAAAGCAACAGCCAGTTGAACAAATACAGTTAGTAACATAGTAGACAATTATTCCGAAGATGATCGACCAGAGCCCTTCGAAAAGTTGTGAATGATGATAAACAACGAATAGATAAAGGAAGATTATTCCAATCACATGGAGCCTTACCCCCAAATTCCACTACCTCCGCTCCGGTCCGCCCCCGCCTTCCGCAGCCGCTCGCTCCCGAACTCAATTTTTACTGGCACCCGCTCTACAACTTCTCCGCTCCGGTGCGGAGACCTGAGGGGGGCAAACAAGCATGCGCGGGATTTTCGAGATCTTGCGATACAGTCCGAGCAATAAACGAGGAAGTTAGATCCAAACACCCGTTGTGTGGGAGAAGCATCGAAATGAACTGTTTAATCTGCCTATCATTTGTGTTGAGAGATCGGCAGTGTTTGGGTCAACAAAGTGTGACTACTTATTTATTTATTTATTTATTTATTTTATTTATTTATTTAGGAAGAGGGGCAATACATATTAATGAACATTTCAATAAATGTAAATATACCAGATTATAGCCTTGGGCTAATTTCCATCTGCAGACCCTCCGGCAAGTTGATGTTAGACACAAAGTAGTGTAAACATACAGAGATAGTATTTACAAGTCATGTGACAGAGACAAAAACAGTCATCCCATTATACTAACACAAACAAATGTCTACTTTGATAGTAGAAACTGTATTTATGGCTTATTTTTGTGCATTTAAACTTCAGCCGCCATTGATAGTTGTTAAAAGTTGTTAAACCTGTGCATATGAAACAAAAAATGCCTTTTATCGATTTATTGTGAAAAACGGAAGTTTTGCTTGCTCCTTTTCCTGTTGGGCGGTTGTGATTTCTGTCTGTTTACTGCAGAGGTGCTCCGGCATCCGGCGAAAATAGGATCGATTCTATTTTTGCCGGACGCCGGAACAGAGGGCGGCGCACTGCGCCGCACGGCTGGAGTACGGCCACAGTAGTGGAATTGCTCTGATTGACTACAACGGGACCGATTTTGCTCCGGCGTTCGTGTCGGAGCGGAGGTACACGAACGCCGGAGCAAAATCGGTCCCGTTGTAGTCAATCAGAGCAATTCCACTACTGTGGCCGTGCTCCGGCAGTGCGGCGCCGTGCGCCGCCCTCTGTTCCGGCGTCCGGCAAAAATAGAATCGATCCTATTTTCGCCGGACGCCGGAGCACCTCCGCAGTAAATGGACAGAAATCACAACCGCCCAACAGGAAAAGGAGCAAGCACAACTTCCGTTTTTCACAATAAATCGATAAACAAAAGGCGTTTTTTGTTTCATATGCACAGGTTTAACAACTTTTAACAACTATCAATGGCGGCTGAACTTTAAATGCACAAAAATAAGCCATAAATACAGTTTCTACTATCAAAGTAGTCACGCTTTGTTGATCCAAACACTGCTGATCTCTCAACACAAATGATGGGCAGATTAAACAGTTTCATGCCGATGCTTCTCCCACACAACGGGTGTTTGGATCCAACTTCCACGTTTTTTGCTCGGACTGTATCGCAAGATCTCGAAAATCCCACGCATGCTTGTTTGCCCACCTCAGGTCTCCGCACCAGAGCAGAGCCGTTGTAGAGCGGGTACCGGTAAAAATTGAGTTCGGAAGCGAGCGGCTGCGGAAGGCGGGGGCGGACCGGAGCGGAGGTAGTGGAATATGGGGGTAAAACCAAAAGCATGTTTCCCCACCTCTCTTTTCACTCTAGGAGCAACAAAAAAAGATCTGGTCATTGTGCCGCAGGCTGCAAAGTGAAATATAGGGAATTAAGTGTATTTTAAGATAATCCGCATAAGTAAAAAGTTTTAAAAATGAACTGAAACCAGTGAAACTGTCTCCTGACAGCAGGTGCGAACCAGGACAACTGCCCTATGTGTAACAACAAAAAAGGATTTTTTAAATGTGGACTGTACTCTGTGTTTATACTTTTCGGTATGTGCAAAAAAACTAAAAATGCACTTAGCAAAGCCTTGATGAATTAACTGGGATACGGCAGTAGTAGCTCGCTGAAATGTAAACACATCTGTTTATTGAAAGGACATATTGTTTTGGCCATATCACCATGGCTACACTAAATCCAATCCTCAGGGTGAAAGAACAGTTTGTGAATGCTTTAATTTTATAATCCATTTGCATATTTGCGGGATTGGATTTGGGCCAATAAGATAAAGAAAAACACTTTGGAGATCAAACAAATATTAAGACATCGAGAGAAAAAAAACTGTTTCAAAAGTAAAACTTACGATCTGAATCAGATTCTTAAAATGATCAAGAAAAACACTTACGGTCAAACAATAATTAAGAAATGGACAGAACAAAAATATTGACTAAAGGAAAAAAATCATTTCAAAAGAAAAACTTACTATCTGAATCAACTTCTTCAAATGAGTAACAAAGTATGTTTCCTTTTTACTGTTTGCCTTTATGTGTTTTTGTTATCAGTTTCCTTTGTTGCGTTCTCGCTGCTCACAGCTTTGCTCTCACTACCAGATTTGCACTTACACTTTCTGGCTTTCTCCTTTCCAATCCCTGAGTGTTTGGTTGCAATTTTGACACAACCCTTTCATGTGGGTGGGACTTCTGAAAAGTCCTCTCCCATAGAGCTCTGGACCCCACGTGACTCTCAGTTAGTGGACGCCATTTTGGCATGCAAAAAAGGTAAACAAACACGGATGTAACCATGAACATGAACGGGATCCGCTTGGATTTTACTTCGTCGGAGTTTACTTCACACTTTAAAACAGAAGAAATCGTTTTATATAGTCAGAAATTAAATAGACTAAACATCTCCGACCCTTACCGTGCCCCTGGGATACTTTTTAAAAACGCCAGAAGCTGTCGGAGCGGACTTCTTACCGGCACAACACCGGACCTGGCCGGGGGAACCCCTTGGGATTCCCCCGGCCGGAGGAGCTGGGGAGAAGGTCTGAGACTCTCGACTCTACTGCCCGCTCCGAAGCCAGAAGCCGTCGGGATTCCCCCAGCCGGAGGAGGCTGGCTCCGGCGGCTGGGGAGAGGGAAGTCACGCTACTGCCCCCGCAACCCGACTCCGGATACGCGGATGAAAATGGATGGATGGACGGACAAATAACAGATTTACACGTAAGTAGTCTCGGTGAGACAGATAATAGCAATCCAAAGTGCTTTTTATGTGTGATCTGACAATTGATCAACCATTGCTTAAAAATTAAATACAGCTTAGCCGGTTAATTGCTGTGATCATAAAACACGTAAACGGCAGCATGCAGAACTCACGAGGCAACGTTTTACGTGAAGTTTACTTGTTGCTATGAGTAATAAGACAGAAAAAGCCACGCCATAATAAGTTTAGGAAGCCCACTAAGAATCATAATAAAAGCATTTAAAATAAATACCATACACAGTGTAGGAAACGTTGGTTTAAGTACCTGATATGAAGTGGTCGCTGCATAAGTGAAAACCTTTACTCTCGGGATCCCACAGCTTCATTTTAGCCCGGTCACTAGCGCATTTTATTACAATGATCCAACGTTTGCGGCGCTCCGGATCTTGGGGAATCCTGTAGATGGCTCATTCCTTATGTCGTCCGCGTCTGTTCTGCATCCTGGGGCACAACAGGAATCTACCATATTTCCCGTTTGATTGAATTTTCTGACAATAACAAATAGTCCAGCTGCCGGCTTCTGCATGCCAATATGGCGCCGTTTCGATTTGAACTGTTGCATGCCGGGAGAAGTGACGTCAACTCCTGGAGCTCTATAGGACAGTGGTTTCTCTAGAGTGACAGTTCAGTGACCTGGAAGTGATGTAGCCTCCAATGCTTTTTTTCCCCCCACCTCAGTCAACAGCATGAATTTTGAGCCCCAAACACATTATTTCTGCTGTCTGTGGTGTCTACTGAGGATCTAAAGTGAGTATTGATAATATATTTTATCTTTTCTTAGTTAATCTGTAAGTTAAGCCACTTTTTAAGTTGATTTTAACCAGATGTTAGCTCACTAGCTAGCTGCTAAGCAAGCCATTGTGCTAGCCTCAAGGCTAGCACAATGGCTTGCTTAGCAGCAACTCATCTTAACATATTCATTACTGGTTTCATGGAATTAATTATTGCAGTTTATGTTAATACGTTTGCTAATTTTTCAGGAATCTGTGGAACGTCAGAGACTTTGCAGCTACTGGAGCTAACCTGTGTACAGCTAACTCGCTACAGAGGAAGCAGCAGAAAGCTGAGCTAACAGGCTGTTTTGCAGGTAAATAGTCTTTTAGTGGAACTGCAGGATTTTTATGGTATAACCCAGACAGAATCTACATGAGCTATTGTGGGAAGACATTTAAACTACATTTACATTCAGATACATTTTTTATTCCATGTTACTTGGACGGGCTAAACAAGTTCATAGTTCTGCCTGTTCCTTTTTCAGTGAAACGAATGGATTATATGATGTAACTCTGACTGAATAATTATCTATGTGAGTATGTTTGAAAATAAATTTCTTACCAGTGTACAGATCTGACATTTGTTTGTCAGAACAGGACAAATCAGATTCAATGTGGTTTCTGTCACCCTAAATCAGATCCATATCTGATGTTTTTATTACTTAAGTTTGTATGAACAGTACATTTGATACCACTTTTACATTTCTGAAGTGAAACAGATCGCATAAGCGCCTGAGGAAGTGGGACACAAAATGTAAACAATGGATAAAACAAAATGATATATTTTGTGAGGTACTGGTTAGAGATGGTTGGGAAGCACTGATCTAGGTAATGCACCACAAGCATTTTTATTTTACAAGCTTGTTTGGCATCGAAATAATTAGAACCCTCTTCTTTTTCTGTCACACCTAATACATACATAAACACACACCAATTTCTCTCACCGCTGATGCCTTCATTAAATCTAATAAAATCTATAGTAACTATAGTCTGGTGACTAGTGTCTAGTTTAGATGTAGCTTAGCTGGAGTAGTATAGTCCAACTCTGCCTCAACTGGTGACTTTTCTACTTCATTGTCAGCCAGACAAAATGTTGCTGCAGAGAAACGCCCAAGGTACTGACCCCACAATGAGAAAATCATAATGTCCACATTTATTTCACACAATCTCAAACGTCACACTAAAATTAAACTCTTAGCTCTGATTTAATTATTTCCTTATTGATATCAGTTTTCCCTTTGTTGTAGGTAATCCTCGGGTGTCAGCAGGAGGAGGTGACCACTTGCATAACGGAGCACCCTGGTTCTGAGCCAGTTGCACCTTTGTGCAGCTCTTTGGGGAGAAGATGCTCAGCAGGTTAAACAACTGTAAAATTGATTTTGTTCATACTTTTTGTTTAGAACTCATACATGACCAGTTTTTCTTTCTTACACATGCCTCCGTGTGGTCAGGTGGTGTTGGTGTGATCTGGGAGGGCACACTCATGTCGTCATCTCCTTGTGCCGTCTCCAGGATCATGATGGGAGTTCTCTGTGCCTATAAAGCAGGGGGGGGGGGGGGGGGTGTTTACTTCTGGGCCTGGAGGGCCGGTATCCACCACGTTTTAGTTTTAACTCTGTTTCAACACACCTGATTTCTGTCAGCAGGTGATTAACAGGCTTCTGCAGAGCTGCTGCACAGGTAATTCAACCCCTGATTCAAGTGTGTTGGAGCAGGGAAACAACTAAAACGTGCTGGATACCAGCTATATGGATGCTGCTATAAAGCCTTCCTCCCTCCTCTGGAATTTAAACATTAGTATTCTATCATGGTTTCCTGATTTAGTAAATAAATCTCAATTTATAAATTTCCTGTTTTGGTGCCTGTCCATAAAATCCTGCATTAGACACTGAAAGCTGAATGGATGCCTTTCATTCACGTTGACATTCAATGTATTTTCAAAGATACACTTGAAATTAATATCAGCTGTTTAACAGAGTGGTGCAATTGCTAATGTCATGATTTTTGCAATAACCTGACCTTCATGCAGAGAAACTCACGAGACAAATAAGCTAAAAACAGTTTATTAAAATGTTTGACGGATGCCTGAAGAGGTAACTGCTGGAGATCAGGAACCAGAAGCTTCTGTGAGGAAGAGCAGAGGTTAGTAAGAGGCAACAGGCTAACGTCTGGTTAAAACCAACTTGTGGCAGGGGTGATGAGTGAGCACCACCTCACCCCTGCCACGTGGATCTCAAGGGATAAACCATCAATCCTGCCCCATGGTCAACTTTCCTCACGGGGTCGCCCATGAAGACAGTGGGAGGGTTAAAGAAACACAGACATTTCAAAATCCTCATTTAAACCTAGTGGTTGAAGTGTTTTCAACGTGTAGATCCAGAACAGTTCCCTTTGGCAGAGTTTTGTTTTTTATCTATATCACCTCCTCTATGTAATGAAATATGTTCAATCCCCTGGAATCTGAGTGAAGACATAGGGTGTGAAGAGTCATTGAAATGGCGTGTTACTGGATAAGTCAAGTCTTTTCTTCCAATTGAACTCTTATGTTCACTGGTCCTCTGTTTGAGTGGCCTTGTTGTTTTACCTATATAGACTTTACCACAGGGGCCTTTTAACAAATACATTACATTATTTGAGTTACAAGTAATTATGCCCTTAACATAGCAGCTGGGATGAGGATCAGCACCTCCAAATCTGAGACCATGGCTCTCGACCGGAAAAGGGTGGCTTGCCAACTCCGGGTCGGGGCAGAGGTCCTACCTCAAGTGGAGGAGTTTAAGTATCTCGGGGTCTTGTTCATGAGTGAGGGTAGGAGGGATCGGGAGATCAACTGGCGGATTGGTTCGGCGTCTGCAGTGACCAATCCGACCCTGGTGGGGATGAGTTACAAAGTAGCCACAGCTGCCCTGGGGCGGACTGACAGAGGCAAGGGGCGCAGGTGCCGCCGGTCCCTCTGACCACCACCAGTAATTAGGCAAGTGGGGTTAAGTGTCTTGCCCAAAGACACAATGACAGCGACAAACTGAGCAGGGCTCGAACCTGCAAGCTTCCGATTACGGGGCGAGCACTTTACTCCTGTGCCACCGTCACCACACAAATCTGTTTTATTCGCATGTTTTGCCAGTATGATAAGCAAATCAGATTTCTAAAGACTGACACAAGTTAGGTTTCACCTAGAAAGAATGAATATTCGCCTTGTTTTCAGGTTTTTAGGTGACACTCCCGGTCGTATCTAAAATAGCTGAGAAGTGGGTGGTTAAACTCCTCACTGCTCACCTAGAAAACACCCAACCCTCATTACATCCATTGCAGTTTGGCTTTCGGGCACATCATTCCACAGATACTGCCCTGTGTATGTTAGTGGAGAACGTGAAGAGCTTGCTGGACAAGAGTTGCTGTGTTGGAGCTGTATTTTTAGATCTGAAGAAGGCTTTCGACTCTGTAAACCATCAGATATTGTTGTCCAGATTGACTCAGTTTAATATCTCCAGTCAGGCGCTTCAGTGGTTTGCCTCATATCTCTCACACAGGAAACAGTGTGTGGTGTGGGATGGGGTTAAATCTCCAAATTTAGACTGTGATACAGGAGTTCCTCAAGGATCTGTTCTTGGGCCTTTATTGTTCTAGCTTTTTATTAATAACTTACCTGAAGTCTGTCCAAATATATTTGCTCAAATGTATGCGGATGATGATTTTTCAAAACGCCCCTTAAACTTGAAGCAGTCAAATATATTCCTGGATGGAGTAGAGCTTGCTCTAGTACCAGAATTTAAATACCTTTGGGTCATTCTAGACCCTACATTATCCTTCAAGAGTCATATAATCAAAGTGTCCCAGGTACTTAATTTTCATAATCGAAATTTTCCTCATATACGTAATAATCTAAATATGAATGTTGCAAAAACTTATTTTTACTCAGTGATCATCTCTCATATGGACTATTGTTTGACATCCTGGTCACTTGCTTGTCCAACACTTAAAACTATTGCAGACATTTATAAAAGTTTAAAATTACTTGACAAAAAACCGACTTCCCACCACCATTGTCATGTGTTAAAAAAACATAAATTACTGAACTTCAATAATTTAATGAAACTTAAAAGAGTCTGTTTAATATATAAAGTCTTACACTCCCTTGCTCCACCACCACTAAAGCAGTTCATTAGGCATAAAGAAAGCTCAAACAGGACTACACGAGCTACAATTCGAGGAGAAATGTTTACACCACATAGACAGACAGCTTTTGGCCAGAACGTCCTCTCTGTCAAGGGTGGCCATCTGTGGAACAGACTTCCTCAATCCATTAGAGAATGTTCGACTTTCAATTTGTTTAAGGCAAAGGTTAAAAACTGGTTATGGACAAATCAAGTGTGTGATCATGTATGAGTTGTATAGTTTTAATGTTTTATTTGTGAATAGAATGGTGTGTATGTGTAAGTTTGGTGATGGAGTTTTTATTACGAATGAATGATGAATTTTTATGAATTATTATGTCTTTTTATGCCTAAGGACAACAGGTGGAAATTAGCCTTTGGCTATAATCTGGCATGTTTACATTCATGTAAGCTGCTTTTACATTTATGTTCATTAACATGCACTGTCCTACATAAATAAACTTATTGTCCACACACACACACACACACACACACACAGACACACACACAGACAGACAGACAGACAGACAGACAGACAGACAGACAGACAGACTGTCATGTCATGTCATGTCATGTCATGTCATGTCATGTCATGTCATGTCATGTCATGTCATGTCATGTCATGTCATGTCATGTCATGTCATGTCATGTCATGTCATGTCAAAGTATGGCCCGGGGCCATCTATGGTCCTCAGAATGATTGTGTGCAGGTCTCTCTTGCAGTTCTACAATCATTTCTCTCCATAGGCCTGTTAATGTTTACCAACACTTTTTACATTTTTACGACACTTTTTATGTTTATTTTTAAAAATCAGAAATATGAGTAGTAAAATGAAAAAATAAAACTGTAATAAAATAATATTTGCAATTTTTATCATAAACAAAATCTCATTTATGTGGCCCGCAAGAACTTTAACTTGATCATTTCTTAGTGATGATAGAGACGCATTCAGGTAATGCCTTCTTCATCTGGCAAAGCAGAAGGACCCTTATTTAATTAATATTATTAATTAATATTAGTGGTAGATTGAACCATTAATATTAATTCACATTACTTAATATTAATTGATATTAATAACAATTAATATTAATTGATATTAATATTAATTAATATTAATGGTAGATTGAACCATTCATATTAATGCATATTAATTAATATTAATTGATGTGAATAACAATTAATATTAATTTATATTAATGGTACATGGTACCATTAATATTAATAGTAATGGCAGATTGAACCATTAATATTAATTCATATTAATATTAATTGATATTAATAACAATTATTATTAATTGATATTAATTCATTCACTGCCAGCCGTTTCCTGATCACAAACGGCCTTTGCTGCCAGCGTTTCTCACCGTTTTTACTGTTTATTCACAGTCACAGAACGTTGCGTGCTAGCATGATGTCGACGCCAAAACAACCAAAACAAAGAGGAGACTCACCTCTTACATCAGGAAGAAGCCGCGTGTTTCGAGCGTTATCCGTTCTTTCATAATCCGTTGTCGAATTGTGATCGGCAGACACTTTTCCGGTTCGCGCCTCACTGTTTTTTACAGGAACGGCCCAAAACAATCTCCAAACACATGGATGTGTTGCTTCCTGATCACGTGATCTGTGACGTATGCGGATGAAGATCGGCTTCAGGGCTGAGATGTTTGTTCTCTCAGCGCGGGGGCTCGTTCCGATGCTCAAACAGTAAAAAAAATGCAAATGACGACTTCAGTCATCATTGGCAGTGAACGGTTGGATCTAAAATGACAACTTTAGTCGTCAATGGCAGTGAATGAGTTAATATTAATGGTACCATTAATATTAATGTTAATACTGACAAGACTGAAGTAGTGCTGTTTGTGGGCCTTTTATAGTCTCTGGACTGAAACCCTCCTTTTTGATGTCACACAGACTTAGCTATTGTGTCTAACCGGTTCTAGAAGATTCCATTAATTAAAGTTTTTATTTATTAATATAATGATGATAATAATAATAATAATAATAATAATAATAATAATAATTACAAACACAATAGAAGAGTCTGTGTGTAACATCATAAAGGAGGCCTTTAATCTGGAAGATTCCATTAATTAAAGTGTTTTTATTAATATTAATATCAATACTAATATTATTAGTATTATTATTATTACTACAAATAACAATAGCAATACTACTACTATTAATAACAATAACAATGATGATAACAATAATGACAATAACAAACACAATAGAACAGTCTGTGTGTGTGACATCATAAAGGAGGCCTTTAATCTGGAAGATTCCATTAATTAAAGTGTTTTTATTAATATTAATACTATTATTACTATTATTATTAATAATAACAATACTACTACTACTAATAATAATAATAATGATAATAATAATAACACTTACAAACACAATAGAAGAGTCTGTGTGTGACATCATAAAGGAGGCCTTTAATCTGGAAGATTCCATTAATTAAAGTGTTTTTATTAATATTAATATCAATACTAATATTATTACTATTATTATTATTACTACGAATAACAATAATAGCAATACTACAACTACCAATAATAATAACAATGATGATAACAATAATAACAACAAACACAATAGAACAGTCTGTGTGTGACATCATAAAGGAGGCCTTTAATCTGGAAGATTCCATTAATTAAAGTGTTTTTATTAATATTAATATCAATACTAATATTATTACTATTATTATTATTACTACGAATAACAATAATAGCAATACTACAACTACCAATAATAATAACAATGATGATAACAATAATAACAACAAACACAATAGAACAGTCTGTGTGTGACATCATAAAGGAGGCCTTTAATCTGGAAGATTCCATTAATTAAAGTGTTTTTATTAATATTAATATCAATACTAATATTATTACTATTATTATTATTACTACGAATAACAATAATAGCAATACTACAACTACCAATAATAATAACAATGAGGATAACAATAATAACAACAAACACAATAGAACAGTCTGTGTGTGACATCATAAAGGAGGCCTTTAATCAGGAAGATTCCATTAATTAAAGTGTTTTGTTAATATTAATATTAATACTAATATAATTACTATTATTATTAATAATAACAACAATAATTACAATACTAATACTACTAATAATAACATTAACAAACACAATAGAAGAATCTGTGTGTGACATCATAAAGGAGGGTTTTAACTTGGTACATTCCGAGACTATAAAAGGCCCACGAGCAGCAGCTCCTCTTCAGTCTCTTCAGAGCTACCGCTGTGAACACACCACTGTCTTTAGACACCCAAGTAAGTTTGACCAAACCCTTTTAGTCACTCAAATCATGAACAGAAGAAACGTGTCGTCGTACGACTCGCGTCTACACCCAGAAGACATGGATTATGAGTCAGACATGGAAAATTATATGTTTGATGAAAACGTGTTGTCGTACGACTCACGTCTACACCCAGAAGACATGGATTATGAGTCAGACATGGAAAATGATATGTTTGATGCAACAGAACATACATCCGTCTTTGATGCTGAGATAGAGTCACTTCACTATGAGACTAAATTACCTGCTGAACTGGAGTTCCCTGGATCTGAGACGGTCGATTCTGACTCTGAGACGATGGTCCCTAGATCTCAGATGGTTCAGCGTGAATTAGCTTGTTTTAAACGCCCAAGAAAGCCACAAAAACCCCTCACTTTTGCTGAACTCATCGACTTTAGTTGTTATGGTGAGTACAAAAAGTCAGATCTACTGTCTACAACTAAAGAGATGGAGTCTGAGATGCCAGAACAAACATCTGTCTTTGATGCTGAGAAAGAGTCTCTTCCGATTGAGACTCGTTTATCTGCTGAACTGGAAATCTCTGGATCTGAGACGGTTGTCCGTAGTCCTCAGACGGTTCAGCAGGAATTAGTTGATTTTAAAAGCAGGCAAATTGATGACCTTTTGAAACAAGTGGATCATTTGAAAGAAAAACTGCAGAATACAGTTTCAAATACTTGTTTCAATCAGGAGAAGGAGAAGAGGCTTGCTGCAGAGAACCAGTGTGCGCTTTACAAGGAGCAAACTAAAGAGATGGAGAACGGTTTGGTTCAGCAGCAACAAAAGCTGGTGGCTTTAGAAAAGCAGTTACAGGAGCAGAAAAACGTGAATGAGGACTTACAAGAAATCCGCTCAGATCTAAAAGGTGAGACAGACGAGTCCCGTTTTTCTGGAGTCTCGAGAGACGTTCTGATCGAGAACTTTGAAAAACTGGAGGAACGACATTTGGACTTAGAAGCGATGTTAAGCAGAGAAAAAGATGAGAAAATCAGCGTAGAACAGAAGTTTCTTGACAAGCTGGAGAATTTAAAGGAGCAGCTTTCAGAAAAGAACATTTTCATCGAAAGTCTGCAAACAGATTTAGATCAAGAACGTCAGTTCAGACTTAGTGTCCAGGAGCAGAAGAACGCCCAGCATAAAGTCACTGTTAACGAGAACTATAAGAAGGAAATGAAAGATCTTCAGAAAAGGAACGGTGACCTCTCTGAGTTGCTGAACAACATTAAAACGGATCTGAAGAACAGAGACATGAAACTTCTGGAAGAACGAAATAATTTTAAACATCAGCTCAAACAGAAGAAGCTAATCTGCGAAGATTTAGAGAAACGTTTGAACAAAGAAAACGAGCTCCGCCTGACCTGTGAGGAACAACTCAAAAAAACTAAAGATCAAATGAGTTCAATGAACGGAAATCTCAAGAAGGAGATCAACGACCTGAAACAGAAGAACTTGGAGCTCAGTCAGACGCTGAGAAGTGGTCAGGCTGTAGAAACTAAATCAGAACAGATGTGTGAGGATCTGCAGAAGTTTAAGCAGCTGCTCCATGAAAAAATGTCCGTCTGTGAAGAACTTAGCAGCAGTCTGGACATAGAGAAGCAGCTCAGAGTTAGCTACGAGGCTCAGCTGGACTCTAACAGGACGATAGCCTGTGAGAACTCAGATCTTAAAGAGCAGATCAAAGATCTGACTCAGAGCAACTCTGAACTCAGAGTGGTCGTGGATCATTTGAAAGAAAAACTGCAGAATACAAATACTTGTTTCAATCAGGAGAAGGAGAAGAGGCTTGCTGCGGAGAACCAGTGTGCGCTTTACAAGGAGCAAACTAAAGAGATGGAGAACGGTTTGGTTCAGCAGCAACAAAAGCTGGTGGCTTTAGAAAAGCAGTTACAGGAGCAGAAAAACGTGAATGAAGACTTACAAGAAATCTGCTCAGATCTAAAAGGTGAGACAGACGAGTCCCGTTTTTCTGGAGTCTCGAGAGACGTTCTGATCGAGAACTTTGAAAAACTGGAGGAACGACATTTGGACTTAGAAGCGATGTTAAGCAGAGAAAAAGATGAGAAAATCAGCGTAGAACAGAAGTTTCTTGACAAGCTGGAGAATTTAAAGGAGCAGCTTTCAGAAAAGAACGTTTTCATCGAAAATCTGCAAACAGATTTAGATCAAGAACGTCAGTTCAGACTCGTTAGTGTCCAGGAGCAGAAGAACGCCCAGCATAAAGTCACTGTTAACGAGAACTATAAGAAGGAGATCAAAGATCTTAAGAAAAGAACCGGTGACCTCTCTGAGTTGCTGAACAACATTAAAACGGATCTGAAATACAGAGAGAGAATACTTCTGGAAGAGCGAAGTGATTTTAAACATCAGCTCAAACAGAAGGATCTAATCTGCGAAGATTTAGAGAAACGTTTGAACAAAGAAAACGAGCTCCGTCTGACCTGTGAGGAAGAACTCAAAAAAACTAAAGATCAAATGAGTTCAGTGATCGCAAATCTCAAGAAGGAGATCAACGACCTGAAACAGAAGAACTTAGAGCTCAGTCAGACGCTGAGAAGTGGTCAGGCTGTAGAAACTAAATCAGAACAGATGTGTGAAGATCTGCAGAAGTTTAAGCAGCTGCTCCATGAAAAAATGTCCGTCTGTGAAGAACTTAGCAGCAGTCTGGACATGGAGAAGCAGCTCAGAGTTAGCTACGAGGCTCAGCTGGACTCTAACAGGGCGATAGCCTGTGAGAACTCAGATCTTAAAGAGCAGATCAAAGATCTGACTCAGAGCAACTCAGAACTCAGACTGGTCGTGGAAAACCTGACCGCTGAGAACGCTGCTTCTCACAAGGAGTTGGCTGAACAGCTGGAGAGTGTCAAACATCAACTCCAAGATAAAACTGTCGTCTGTGAAAACCTGGAAACAGGTTTCACCAACGAACAGAAGCTCAGACTCCAGCTGTACCAGCAACTCCAGGAAACATCTGGCCTGTGTGAGAGCCTGGAAAACCAGCTTAGAGACGAGCAGAAGATCAGACTTGGTTTGGAGACTGAGCTCGCCCAAAACAGAGACGTGGTCAGTGCAGGTCATGATGATTTGATGGCCAAACTGGAACAGATGGAGGAAAAAGAAACAAAACTATCTAAAGTCATCATTAACCTCCAGTTAGATCTGTTTAAAAGAAAAAAGCAGCACGAGGAAGAGTTGGGAATCCTGAAGGAACAAGTCTCTAAACTCGAGTCACTGACTACAAATCTGGAAAGTCAAAATCAGATCTTAAGACAAAAGACTGAATGTTTTAACCCAGATCAGCAAACCGAAGCGATCAGTGAGCAGAACGTGGACGCTGCAGAAGGAAACAAGAGTCTTCCTGCTGAAAACGACTCTTTAGCAGAAAGCCTCAAGTCCCAGAGAGACGCTCCACACTCAGACACAAAAAAACTGGATAAAGTTTCTGTGTGGAGGCGTTTCAAGAAATCTGTAACACCGGGATGTCTCCGTCAGCACAAAAACAGACAACCTAGCAACTAACCTCCCTCCTAACTAATCAGAAAAGGCTAATTAGAAGACATCCCATCGGGCAGCACTGTCCAGGATGAATCTGAGGAGTTAAAACCAGCCACTGCCTCCCCAAAGACCCTGTTTAGATAGAAAAAAAGATAAAAAAAAGCCCCCCCCAACACACACACAGAAGGAGAAAAACGGGGCATCATGGTGGCACAGTGGCTAGCACTGTTGCCTCACAGAAAGGTCACTGGTTCAAATGGATCAGCTTCCTTTCTGCGTGGAGTTAGCATGTTCTCTCCATGAATGCGTGGGTTTTCTCCCGGTGCTCGGGTTCCCCCCACACACCAAAAACACACCAAAAACACGCTTAGGTCAATCGGTGACTAAATTATCCCTAGCTGTAAGTGAGTCACTGTGATGGACAAGACCTGTTTGCTCAGTTGGAGGGACTGCTGTAAAATCACTGACATAAGTCTTTGACTCGATGAGATCTGCTGGGTTTCCTTAGATAGGAAAATTATAACTAATTAGAATAATGAAGTGAACTCAGGACACGGTTTAATACGAAAGGTTCAACTGCAGTGTTTGCTTTTTGAGATGACTGATGTTTACCTTGGTGCTACATAAATAAACTGAACTGAATAACTAATCTGAGAAAAGCAGCTACAGCTTCCCCCAAAACCCTTAAAGAGAAATCAGACCTTGCAATGGACGTCACTAGGATTGAGAGATGGGGGGGGGCTTAGCCCCAGGAGCTTGACCTTGAACATTTTTTGTCACACCCTGCAAAAACTTTGTCAATAAATTCATTATCTGAAGAACATCTAACAAAACCTATTATTTTATCACTTTCTTTTCCTTTCCTACCTTTGTGCATTTTCTCTCTTCTTTTTATAAAAAAATAACACTTACTCAGTTCATTAGTAGGGTCTATGTTGAAGAAAGATTTTATATAAGTCCATTAAAAATTAGATATGTTAAATTTCCAAATAAAGCTATTCATTTCAGTCTACTGCACTTAACAGGGGGAAATGTTGCAGTCATTTGTTTAATTACAACTTGCTTAATTATAAATGTTACTGAAATATGACAAAGAACAAATGAATAATTGTCAAACTTTTATTCTGCCAAATGAGTGTGCAGTTGACAGTTTTAATATAAGAATAACACTAATATGATATGGAATAAAGGAGTATGTAATTAACAATTACAAGACAAAATAACAGTATATATAAAAATTAGGGCTGGGACTTGATTAAAAATTTTATTCTAGTTAATTTGAGGCTTTGTAATTAATTAATCTAAATTAATCGCATTTTAATTGTTCAGGAAAATGTGCTCTCAAAACAAAACTTAATTAAAATTATGAAACAAAGAATTAAACATTAGACATAGTTATTACTGTAAAACTAAAGCGTTTAATAAAAAATGTATTTTAATTAATCAAATGTCACTCTGTGATATGAAACAAGACCCAAATCAACTAAAATTTACAATTACAAATAGAAAACACCTGCAAAGGGTTCCTGAGCCTTTAAATAGTCTCTCTGAAATAAATTTGACTTTGCACCAGATTCTAATTTTTACAGATTCTAATTTTTCCAGTTTCACTTGTTTGTATAACTGGGAGTTTTTATTAGCATTTCTACTCATAATGTACTAAAAACACACACATAAATAATAATCCTTCAAAATGACAGTAGAACATATTCTGAGAATGATCAGGAACACTAACTGGTTCCAGTTGGATGACTGGAGGATGATGGGATGATAAAAGATTATGGCAAGGAAATAATGATCTGACGAACAGGTGAGCGGACCTTCCTTAAATGGGAAGTCCTGCAGTCACGTTAAGAAGGGGGTGCTGCAGACCCGCAGATTCACGCCTGCAGCAGAGAATCTGGTGTGATCTCCAGCCTGATCACAACTTCCTCGTTCCTCGCTGCCCCTGATACACTTAAGCATCCACCCCTCAGCTGATGACAGCTTCAACACACCTCGCTGCTTAATGATAGTAATGCATGCGATGATGTTTAGACAGAGATTCGTCTCAGAAACATATAATTCCCCGACAGAATTGTTTAGAAAATCATCAGAAAAGTTTCAGAGTGTTTCTGTTTTAACTTAAACTTCTGTTTTCAACTTTAAGACATATGGAACTAGGATTGGGACAATATTCAGCGTAACTTGTACAATATCCAGCGTAACTTGTACCAAGTTTTGTAACTTCGAACATGTTTCATCACATGTAACTTTGGATTCGTAACTTGTAACTTTAGTTTTCTAACTTGTAATTCTCAATTCGTACTTGTATTTCTTGTTTTGTAACAGTAACATTGTATTTTGTACATGTATTTTTTATTTTGTAAAATCAAACTTTTATTTTGTACATTTACTACTCATTTTGTAACATCAACCATTCATTCAGAAACATGAAACTTTCGTTTTGTAACTAGCAGACTTCCAAATTGAAAAAAATCAAGGTACAAGTTTGAAATCAAAACTCTCAAAACACACATTTCATTCTACAGGTACGCACCTCAAATCCTACAGTGTTACGAATCTTTTTGTCTCGATTCTAGCGTCAGTGGGAGGAACTTGGGTGGAACCAATGAGAGCACGAGTCTTGGCTACCAATCACGTTTCTCGAATTCCTGTTCAATCATTGGGAGAGGAGGGCAGGGTTTTGTCAGAGCTGTAGAGAGTTACGACACTCCAATAGACTCCTATGGAATGGGGAAGTCACGTGGTTCATGTAGTTTTGAATCGTTCTAAACAGCCCCGCTGCTGCATTGACTGCAGTTCATTTTCGGTGTTTCGGAACGATTTTCTCCGGTAAGTTGATGAAATGTCATCATTTCGTTGCATTGTGAAGCGTTAGCTAATCACTTCATTGTCTCCTCACAGAACAAGGCTATCCCAGCATGCTTTGCGCGCCGGCTGTGGATTTTCAACAGGCAGAGAAAATGGGGAGAGCTACGAAGTTTTAAACGTAAGTTTGTTAAAAACTAGCCGTAGAAATCTAAAAAGCTTAAAGCGGTTCAGTTTATAGACATTTTTCGTTTGTATATTTGTTCTTTAAATTACATTTTAGGCAGAAATCAGCCAGAACGTGTTTGTATCGCAGGTCCCAGTTGTTCCCGTGTGTGTGTGTGTGTGTGTGTGTGTGTGTGTGTGCGCGTGTGTGTGTGTGTGTGTGTGTGCGTGTGTGTGTGTGTGTGTGGGTGGCGAATTAAACTTGTCATTTGTTTTAAGGACAACGGAGCAAAGAAGCATTTTTATTAAGCTTAGAGGTGAAGAGTGAAGCTGTTTACACACAACCACAGAAGTTCTGCTGTGAAAAGTAGTTTTACATTCAGGGATTTACACAGCTGACACGTTTTAATGAAGTAAAAAGTTTGTGTGAAGAATATAATTTTTATCTTCTCATGTGGATAAATGTAAAAATGTGTTTATTGCCTTTTTGTCACCTGTGGTCTCTGATTTTCTCTGTAGGACTGCAGGTGTCCAGGGTCAGGAGAGGCTTTACCTGTTGGTCATCCTGGGAGAGAGTCCTTCTACTGTCATCATGTTGATGTTATTTAGCTGTTTGATATTTGAACACATTTATTAAAACAAATATTAACTGATAACTCTTTCTGGTCATTGATTTTATCACCAATTTTTATTAGATGTTTTTGAACATGCTACATGAACAGAAAATGAATAGATGGTAAGGAGACAAGATTATTTATAATACGTTACACTTATTTACAGATCAAAACCAGTATGGACCAGTTATGTACGGTGAAAGCAGGATTAACCTGAGCGACTCTTCCTGGATCATTTATTTAAACTGAGTGAGCAGGAAGTCTTTAACAGTGCAGCTGGATCTGCTGCAGGAGGATCCAGACGTGGATGGAGGGCTGGAGCAGACCCGAGGCTGAACGTTTCTGGTCAGAGGAACATCATACAGGACGGTCTGCAGAGAGAGCTTTGGGACGCTTCCTCTCACTGTCCACTCCATCGTCCATCTACAGGGACTGCTGGGCTGGCTCGGACGACGGCTGTTACATCTCTGTGAATGACTTGCCTGTTAACAGTAGTGGTGGTCTGCTGGTACCTCCTGCAGGACAGAGCACCACTGACCTCCTCCACACACATCTTCCTCAGGCTCATCCTCCAGACCCACAACTTCACCAGCACCGATGCAGATGTGCAGCACAGTGTATGCTGACCTGTAATAGATTAAATAAGAGTTTGTTTTTGTTTAGAAAAATGTAAAACAAACCTATAACCTGCAGTACACTGATTCTGTTCAGTTTAAAGAAAAGCAGCAGGGAAAACTACAGAGAATTTACATTTTTAAGACAGATCTAATCTATATTAGGCTTATGTTGAATAAACAAATGCACATTCAAAACAGTTCAATGCTATTTTATTAAAAAGCCTGTTTTTTAAAACGTTTTACCCCCATTTGATGCAAAATAAGTTCTAAGGTCCAATTTACATTAGAAAACATCCTACTGCATTCAACATTTATAATGCATTTGGTTTATATTAATTACCTACATGATAATACTCTGTAGAAATGTGTTGTGTACGTTTAACAAGTTCATTCTGTAGCTTAAAACATACATGAAACCATCTAAAGATAACATGTAAGTAGGGCTGCTCAATTAATCGAATTTTAATCACGATTACGATCTGAGTTTTGAACGATTATAAAAAACAAAACAAGCCGATTATTTGCTCCTCCCGCCTGCGCTGCCTCGAGTTGCAAATGAAGCGCTCCTCACAGTGTTGCCAACTTAGCGACTTTGACGCTATTTCTAGCAGCTTTTCAGACCCCCTTCTTGACTTTTTAACTTAAAAGTACCTAGCGAACTCCTGAGAAACATCTCTGGTAACCCTTAGCTACTTTCTGGATAACTGTCGTCGACATTTCCTGCAGGTTAGCTTAACACTCCGCCTGCGCCCCGGATCGTTCTTCAGGACATTAGGAAAGGGAATGATGTAGTGATGTGTCGGTCGCTAAAGAAACAGCTCTCAGAGCCGGCTCCTTGTTGGAGTAACCAGAGTGAGTGACACACACACCGCACCTGCGGACTCCTGAGCCACTAAAAACGGCTAAATGTGCGTGTGCGGCGCGCTAAACACACATGCAGTTTGCCCCGATTGCTGTGAGACCGGGTTGGGGGTGGGGGTGCAGCTGTGGTTGGGACAATTATTACATTAACTGATGGACTTGTAAATAAATAGTTTATAAATAAGCTAGAAATAAGTTCCTCACGCTGATAATTAATAACTAATCTCTCTGAGGACACGGTGCTAGTGCACTCTCCTACAGCACCTTGACACGACTAAATAAATGTTATGCAACATTTTGTGAACATAAATTTATTTGCATGTATTTGTTGCCACTGTATAATTCTTGCTGTCAGTATTTGCAAGATATTGGTATTTGGGTCTGTACTGGTTAGACTTAAATGAGTTAAACCAAGGTCTATAGCCCTTGGGTCATAGACTATGAGCTATAAATATATTGGTCTTTTTATACTGGGAATCAGGAGTTATTTTAGTGATCATCTTGTTTCTTATTTTTGTCCTGATTGTGCCCTGACCAATTTTATGGCTGAATAAAAACAAATAAAATCAACATAAATTGAAAAATCGTCCTAAATAATCGTGATCTCAATTTCAGTCACAATAATCGTGATTATTATTTTCGCCATAATCGAGCAGCCCTACATGTAAGTCCTGAAAGCTTCTAGAATAAACAAAGTTACTTTACCTGAAAACGTTTGTGAACAAACGCTGCTGATGGACGTGAAGCTGCTGTAGCTCCTTAATATTCCTGCTCCATTTTCGCTAGCTTTAGCATTTTTCCTTTGCGTGTAGCTGCCGCCACGGCTGTGGGATCTACAGGTCACCGTAGAGGTGGAGCCGACGCGCCCCCTCCTTTGTGTTTTTTCCTCATGTATTCCCTCATTCATTTACAAAAGGAGCACCGTCATGGCTGCTCCCATGGTCTGCCTGTATCTGTCCTGTCTATATGTGTGTGTGTAACCTTGGTCAGGTTGTACTATGGAGTCAAGATCCTATGCTCTGATCTGGAGCGCTGGCAATAAAATTCATTCTGATTCTGATTTTGATTCTGATTCTGAGGTCCGAATTCAGAGCCGCTGACTTCCGGTTTTAGCGGTCTTCAAGGACCCGGCCTTGCTAGACCGGCAAGAATCCGTACTCATAAGCATCCTTCCTGTGGATTCGGACATTCGGAGTGTCATCTCTACAGCTCTGCCCTCCTCTCCCAATGATTGGACAGGAATTCGAGAAACGTGATTGGTAGCCAAGACTCGTGCTCTCATTGGTTCCACCCAAGTTCCTCCCACTGACGCTAGAATCGAGACAAAAAGATTCGTAACACTGTAGGATTTGAGGTGCGTGCCTGTAGAATGAAATGTGTGTTTTGAGAGCTTTGATTTCAAACTTGTACCTTGATTTTTTCAATTTGGAAGTCTGCTAGTTACAAAACGAAAGTTTCATGTTTCTGAATGAATGTTTGATGTTACAAAATGAGTAGTAAATGTACAAAATAAAAGTTTGATTTTACAAAATAAAAAATACATGTACAAAATACAATGTTCCTGTTATAAAACAAGAAATACAAGTACGAATTGAGAATTACAAGTTAGAAAACTAAAGTTACAAGTTACGAATCCAAAGTTACAAGTTACGAATCCAAAGTTACATGTGATGAAACATGTTCGAAGTTACAAAACTTGGTACAAGTTACGCTGAATATTGTCCCGATCCTAGTTCCATAAGACACGTTGTTTGTGATTGTTTACAGAGTAGTGAGAACACGGAGCGTTCTCCCAGCGGCAGCCAGGTGCCTCTCGTTTGTCTGACTACTTTCATAAACTACTGTTAGGGCAAAGAATTATTCTGTCTGGTGCTTTCAGCTCTGCACAGATGTTACGTAAATGTTAAAAATATAGCTTACCACAACTTTTGTAAAGTTTCCGGTGCCACCGGGCAGCCAAAGCAGAGACGATCTCTGAGAAATGTCCACGACACGGACTCTGTTGTTGTCTGGAAGTTTGTTTTTTTCAAGTTAAGAAAAGAGGCAGACGGGTTTCCTAAATCCTGCATCAGTCCAAGCAAGGCAACTTCTTTCCGTTTTTATTCCGTTAGTAGCCATTAGCACTGAGCATTGTTGTGTGCGTCAGTGATATTCTGTCTACGAGGAAGTCGTGCAATGACAAAGGTTCCGCCGTGCTCGAAATGCAAGCTGCGATTAATTGCGTGAAATTTTTTTAACGTGTCGTTTTTTTCTAATTAATCATAATTAACGTGTTAAAGTCCCGGCCCTAAGAAAACTCAAAATGATAGGGGGGCTGAAGCCCCCCTAAAACGAACCTAACGACGTCAACGGGTGAGAGTAAATAAAAGGGGTTTATTTTACAGATTTTGACCAAAAATCACAGTCCTCGACTGGAAAAATCCACATTCAGTGTAACAAAACACACAACGGAGGTAACTCAAAACACCTGGGACAAACGGTCCCAGGGACGAAAACACGGAAATAACTATTGATACAAAAACGGAAAACAATGAGCCGGAACCAACTATAAACCAAAACTCAACGGCTATCAATATTCAAAAGGGGTATTAACGAAAAGCGAGGTATAAAGCTGAAAACGACAACGAAAAAGGCCTCACTGGGGCAGAATCAAAACGGGATCTCGACACGAACAAACGGTTACTAAATACGAATATCCACACTCTTGTCAAAGCTACTCAATATCACAAATGTTACACGAATCTAGCCAAGGGGAGAAAGAGAGGTTTTAGGTCTGTGAGTCTCTCCCTGAGAAACGGAATCGGGAGTCCTTTTAAGAGCATCTCATCAGTGGTAGCTTGTCCGCAGCTGGGGCAGAGTGGGCGGGCCGAGGTAGAGGCCAGCCTGACGGAGGACCTGTCCAAGGTCCTGAACAGCATGGAGGGAGCAGAACAGGGCCATTCAAGGTGCGGGAGCCCAGGATCCGTAACAGAAGCGGCTCGTGTCATCTGTCATCCATAAGTGTGTCACATGTTGCAAGTTGCGAGGTAAAATGCAGATCCAGAAAATGGCAGACTTGCCCGCAGACCGAGTCACCCCTGAACCACCCTTTACCACTGTAGGCCTAGATGTGTTTGGGCCATGGACAATTGTGACGCGTCGTACAAGAGGTGGTTGTTCCCAGAACAAACGTTGGGCTGTGTTATTCACATGCATGTCAACTAGGGCTGTGCATATCGAACTGATAGAGACTATGTCTGCTGATAGTTTTATCAATGCATTGAGAAGGCTTTTCTCTATTCGGGGTCCAGCCAAGTTTCCGCGCTCAGACAGAGGCACCAATTTTGTGGGCGTTTGTAAGGAATTAGGCCTAGACTCAGGAAACGGAGTAGTAGGAAAGTACCTGCGAGAGAAAGGGTGTGTTTGGACATTTAATCCCCCTCATGCATCTCACATGGGAGGCTCGTGGGAGCGCCTTATTGGGGTCTCCAGGCGCATTCTAGACGCCATGTTGTTAAGAACTGAACAAACACGTCTTACTCATGACGTGTTGTGTACCTTCATGGCCGAGGTGATGGCAATTATAAATGCAAGGCCTCTTGTTCCCATATCCACTGACCCTGACAGTCCTGCAGTACTCACTCCAGCAATGCTACTAACGCAGAAGATGAGTGCTGTATCTGCTCCGCTTGGGAACTTTTCATCAGGGCAGTTGTTTGGTAAACAGTGGAAACACCTTCAACACCTTGCTGATACCTTTTGGAAAAGGTGGAAAGGAGAATATTTGTCCACCTTACAAGGTCGTGCAAAATGGACAGAGACTAGACCTGATGTCAGAGAAGGAGATGTGGTCCTGCTAAAGGACTCCCAAGCCAGCAGGAACGAACGGCCCATGGGACTAATAGTAAAAACATTCCCCAGCAGCGACAAGAAGGTCCGTAAGGTGGAAGTGCGGACTGTAAAAGATGGGACTGTAAAAATGTTTCTCAGACCAGTTTCAGAGATTGTTGTTTTGCTTTCAGAGACTGAATGAATATTCTTCAATGCTAAATGGTGTTTGAATATGTTGTATTGATGTTTATAGTGATATGATGTGTTTATATCAAGCGGGGAGTGTTATGCCATTTGGTCAAAAGTCAGTAGTTAGTGCATAATCTGATTAAGTTACGTAAGCAAGGTGATAAATAAGTTCAAAGTTAAGAAATGTGTGATTCATGCTAAAAAAAACTGTTAAAATGTGTGGGTTTGAAATTTGCTCAGAGTGAGACATCGTTATCACAAGCGATCTTTGTATCGTACGTGCGGAAATGGGAGCGAGTGAGCGCTCCGATCATTCACCTATCTTTGACGTTTTTTCTCCGCGAACGCTGTGAAAAGTGCTTCGGCAGTATTAAAACAGTGAATAAGTTCATGTACACGCTATAAGTGCCCTACACGCTTGTACCTATAGGAAACGTTCGTCTTTGTAAGTATTAATGTGCTCAGAAATAACCTTCATGTGTTCACATGGAGTGAACTGTGATGCTAATGTAACGTATGTGTTAAAGTAGTGGTAATCCCCTGTCAGAGTCTTACTCCACCCACATTTCATATTTGAAAAATGCGGCCCAAAGAGGCGTTTCCTGTAAGACCGAGAAGGCGGAGCTACGACCGTGATTGACATACTGAAATTTGAATACAGATGGCGACGGAGAGCGACAGTAGCTCAGAGCAGTCATTCGAGGTGGAGGACTTTTCCCCACCTTCTTCCCCAGAGGATAGGGAGGAGGGCTTATTGGGGGAAGCAAGCGGTCCTGAACCGTATCTTTTTGAGCCACTAGCTCGTGAGTTGTCAGAGGCCCCTGGAGTCGAGCCAGCAGGAGTATCAAGGCATCTAATGGGTCCAGTCTCTGAGTGGTAAGTAGCTTTTAGCCACAGCTAGCTATATTTAGCTTAGCTAAAAGTAATATTGTATGACTGCCTCGACAGGTGCACCTGCGGCCACTGCACATCATTGTCTGCCAGAGAAAATGTGTGCTGCAGAGAAACGCCCAAGGTATAAAAATAAAAGTACCCCACCATGAGAAAAGCATTCTGTAATGTACACATTTGTTACACAATCACTAACATCATACTAATATTGAACTCTTATAGCCCTGATATCAGTTGTTCTTTGTCATAGGTAATGCTCAGGTGTCAGCAGGTGGGTGTAACCTCCTGCATAACAGAGCATCCTGGTTTTGAGGCTGTTGCTCTGAATCCCTACGTGTTGCAGGCAGTTTATGGCACCTTTCTGCAACTCTATGGGGAGATGCAGGAGACTACGCTCAACAGGTAAGACAACTGTCAAAATAATTTTTTTATGAATACTTTATAACTCATACCACCTCTTTCTCAGCTGTTACAGACATCTGGCGTACCGGAATGTGGTCAGGTGGTGTTGGGGTTACCTGGGACAGCACGTTCGTGTTGTGATCCCGTCATGCGCTGTCTCCAGAATAAGGCAGGAGTTCCCAGAAGACGGTGCATACAAAGGATTCCTCCCTCCTCTGAACTAATATATATTTTTTGGATTAAATAAATGTTATAATATATATTTCCTCTATTGATTCCTGTCCATAAAAAGCTGCATAAATCACAAAACGGTAAATGCACTTCTTTACACTTTGACATTATTTATATATACACACATATAGCCACACACTTTTCAAATGAGCTCTTACAACAGTAAGGTTCTAATTCGGGGTTAATTAATGCTGCTGTAACAAGTGAGTTTACACCCTGTGTGATTAATGAAGTCTAATCTAGAGCAGGTTCAATTAGGTAAAAATGAATGATAATTTAATAAATGTGATATATGTATTTATACAAATCAAAATATCAATATAATTGTATTTAAAATGACACAATTGCGCTTTAAAGATAACATTTATTATAGCTACTACTAAGACAACGTTAGATTACAATCTGATCATAACTTTCATGATTTTTGACAAAACTCTAAACCACAAGCAGAGATTCTGGAGCCATGTGAGGATAGGTTGGGCCATCAGTGATGTTTCTTTGGTTCCTTAGACTGGAGGTAGCTTTCACTGTGATGACAAACGTGGAGATGGATCCCGGGAGCACAGGCTTTTCTGTAACAATATCAGGAGGCTCTGAGGAAAAAAGTAATATTAGTATGACTAGTATGACTTACAAAAGCAAGACTGGTGAGTTTTGTTATGTTACATACGGCCAAGATTTTCAAGTTGTATGGGAGCCACAGAGCAGAAAGGTTGTAGAGATCAATAGACATCTGGGAGGTGGACAGCATGAGTCACGAGTGGATGAGCATAAAGATCCATAATGACGACAGGTAACTCTGTCGTACAGTGGTGTGCAGCCTGGCTGAGGAGGAGAAAAGGAAAAACCACACAGAGTAGAGTACTAACTAATAATTACAATCTCTTGTTGTGTAGCTCACCTTACGTGCACTTTAAAACCTGGACCTGTGCCTGCTCACAGCATCCCGTTTATCTGGTCTTTGGAACTGGGCACAGAGCGGTTCTGGAACCGGAATTTTGTCCGAGTACTCCTGATATGGGAGAGGATCCACCACCACAGAGTCGAACAGCAGATCTATAAGCTTGTGCACATATACTGGAAAAGGGTTTTCAGTATTACAATAGCTCTCCATGACCATCATTTTGGTTTTATCATACAATATATGACATACATGAGGTTGGATTGGTCTTCAGGGCTCTCACTGTGTAGTCTCCATGTTTGTACTTTGGGTACACTACAGCATATCTCAGCTCACCAGTTGCTGTTGCTGCATGTGAGCATGCTGCATTTTCATTATAGTGCATTGCAGCAATTTGTAATCTGAAATAATCAAATAAACAAACCATGTAGATTTTAGGCAAAATTCTACATTTCATTCTAAAATTTGAACAATTAGAGGCATTAATTTGAACATTTGTTGTATTCATTACCTAGACAGCATTCCTTTGAAGGAGAAGACCTGACTTTTTGGAGTAAATCTGATGATGAGACTGTGGAAAGCCTCCAAGGTGGATGTGTGGTACTGAGGGCTTATCTTCTCTACGTCCTTCACAAACCGTGGAGCTAACAGAATGGCAGTGAGCTTCTCACATGATGCTGTGCCTACGTAGAAAATGTTAATTACAAAAATTACAATTTGATCAACTTTAGAATGTTGCTATTATTTCATTGAGAAAAAGTTACCCATAGCTGACATTTTTAGATGACAAATGTATGAAAGAGTGACTAATAGTGCTGTAGACAGGTGTGGTAATTACTTACGGCATTTTAGTACATATTATGTCAATTATGGCTGTTCTGCCTAAAACCATGAGTTGTGTGGCGCACTCGTCTGTTTAAATTTCTGCACAGCATTTTATTCTTAGTAATTAATTGCTGTTGGCCAAATGGTGGTGTGTGACCTTAGCAGCCACATGTGACGTCTGTAACTCTCATGCTCCAAAAATATTTCTCCATGTTGAAGGAGGTGAAGACAAATATTCTGTTGTGGGGTGACGTGTTTTAAATGTAAAGAAACCAAACAGTAAAGGCTCAGCTGTAATGAGTACATGCTACACTTACTTGGTTTGAGCCACTGTCTTGCCTGTTCTCCATCCAGAGGTGCATGCAGACAGCTAGGGAACAGGGCGTTGTCATGGCTGTGCACATTTTGGATGTGGTTGGCAACTGAAGTCCACTTTGCTACTGCCTCCTGTCCTGAGGAGGAACTGGATGCTGACCAGTAGAGGTGGTTCACCACACTTTGCTTCCACAGTCTCACATCCTGGGTCGTCTTTCTCTTCCCCAGCTCTTCGATTTTCTTACCAATTCCTGGAGAGCCAAACAGACCCACATTTAAAATAGAAAAAAAAATCCTGTAATATTCACTATATACATCCCCAAAGATTACCTTTTCCCATGTGCCAGGGGTCAAAGTAGTGACTGATTTCCTTTTTTTCCTCCCGCAAATACTTCTGCACTCCTGTGTGGCGGTCAGTCACGACTTGCTGCACATCGACCCCCCTCTCCAAAAGTGTGCTCAGACTTCGCACAAATCCCTCCTTCTCCATTCGCACACTATTTCCAACTTCATTGCTCTGAAAATAAACATAATTCTCCATTGATCTGTGAATAATTAACCATGAAATGCATTGGAATCATCAGGTAATGTTGTACCTGTGCAAGTTGGATATCAGTAACTTTGTTTCTTTTGAGATCCATCATGGTGCAGCTGCCATATTTGGCTGAGTGTCCTTCAAGAAATGCAAGTTATTACTTAATTTACATTTGATAGCAAAGGAATAAAATAAATAAATTTAAAAGTATTCACCAGGTGAATCAGCTCGCATGTCACCACCAAGAGTCACAGGTCCAGATTCAGTAGCCTCCTGGATGATATCAGCTTGCTCTAGCTGCCACTGCCAGCTCACTGTTGGAATTAACAGCTTTGCCTGATGTCGAAAGAATGTCTGCTTGGACAGTCCCTGCACATTGAAGGCACCCAGGAACTAAAATATGAAAAGTTACGTCATGAAATGAGAGACGCACAGACCTTATCAAAACCAACCTAAACAGTTTTGGCCTATACCTTAGAAATCTGGCTAAATGATGATCCTGTGAAAAGGACAGCAGCACAGAGCTGGAGGTTTCCTGCTGGGATGCTGTTCACCATGGGCTGACTGGACCACTCATTGTAGTGCTCACAGCATGAACACCGTTGTGTCACACGGAGCAGTGTGCCGACTGTTGTCGTGTTCACAACACAACGACCGGTACAAACGGGACACCTTCTGAACAGCCCCAGCAACTGTTTCTCATGAACAATGTACTTCTTGTCCTTTTGTGGATGGACCTCAGTGAAAGAGCTGTATAGAACACATACATTTATATATATGGTCATAACTAAAAAATTCTAAAATGTTATAATTTTTTTTTACCTTGAACAGTTCACTGAGCTTCCACTGTCATTGAGGTGGAAGCTGGGATCAACAACAGACACCTCATATCGTGGTCTTTTCAGGGGTGTGGACGCAGCTCTGGGACTTTGTGGAAGATGAATTTCCGTCACGGTCCCTGTGTCACAAGACACACTGCGGCTGTGAGCTTTAAACTGGGTGGCTATGTAAAATACAAAGAAGCAGCACATTTATAAATGTTTAAAAGAGCATAAAATCACGTGTAACAATAATCTGCAAAACAAATAAAAACTAGAAGGTAATAATAAAATGTTTACATAGAAGATTATTAAAAATAATTCACCTTTGCTACGTCGATAAGGCTTTACATGAGCCTGGACAAGTGCATTTTTGCAGATTACTAAATCAGTCTGACAGCCAACGTCTTGGGTAGATTTAGCCTGAAAAAAAAAATAGAAGCACATTGTTGTTGTTGTTTATAAAGTCAGATAATATACAAAAGAAACTGTCCGAAATATATATATATATATATATATATATATATATATATATATATATATATATATATAGGCGCTTTATGACATTCCTAGTGTGTGATCGTTATTATAACGTAAAAGTCAGTCACATATGATGTGAAGAACCTGAAATGCGACCTCCTGAACAGAATTCCTCACAGAACCGGGTTAGGCTTTGGTGTAAAGCTGGATTTCACGCTGTAATGATGTCTGTCAACTAGTGCTGCGTTAGAGCCACTGTTGCTGAATTACCGACTGACACAAAAACAACCCGGATTTTCTCCGAGCCTGACAGAAATAGTCATGTGGACCTTTTTGTCGGCCAGGGCTTCGAGAAATGTTCCGATTCGCCGCTGATTCTAACCTTACATCCCGTTCCACATTTTGTGAACTTGACAATTTAGCCCGAAGGCAGTGCAGGCTGATATTAGCTAAAGGAAGTGAACCACGTCTCTCAAACTTTGCATTTAGGTAGGGAATTGTCTTTAGAAGATGTTAAAACGTTTATTTAGCTTACTCACCTCAGACTGGAGCCCGCCATGGTGGGGGAGCAGAGTCGGTGGGCTGCATCTAATTCGTGGAAGAGCCACGGTGGGCACGGCCTCACTCTTCAAACGGAGACGTGCAGAATAACCCAGTTCAAACTCCATCATGTTGGCGAAGGAATCGCGGGTAAAATGCTGGTTGCAGACTACAGCACCAGGCGGGAGCTGACTGTTATCCTGTACACCGATTGCGCGCAACCACTGGCGCCTAATTTCTAAGTCCAGTGGAAAGGAGTGCAACCCCACAGAGCTACCACAACCAACTACACTACACCTTTTAACCATACTAACACTATATGGAACACTAAACCCGAATTATTTTCCTAATAAAACTAACAGCTAAACACTAACTAAACTACAATATCTAACAGCCAAGCTGACACTAAATAAGTACTAACACGATATGGAACACTAAACCCGAACTACTTTCCTAGTAACACTAAAAGCCAAACACTAACTAAACTACAATATCTAACAGCCAAGCTAACACTAAATAAGTATTTATAACACTAAAAGCTATGCTAAAGACTATAATATGCTAATGCTATATGCTAATGCTGAACTACCGCTAACCGTCCGACACTCACTTGCAAATCCAACTCCCAACTCGCCACAAGGCGTGGCCGAGACTCTCCTTGCTTTTATAACTTTGGCACAAGAGCTGCTACGTAGTACTCTACTGGTTTACGTAGTATCTTACTCTTTAGCCATTGGCTAAAATTTATTCAAAATGTGTCAAATTCTGTGTTTTAAGCTGAAGGTGGCGCATTACTGTGGTTTTTAGGCTGAATATTTAATTTTTAAAGAAAATGCACCAAAATACTAAAATAATGAATACACACATTTAAAACACTATTAGACACTCATTTATACAGTTCATCAGCAAAAAAAAGTTAATTTAGACGTTACTTGCTCTTTAAGACATCGAGAGAAAAAAAACTGTTTCAAAAGTAAAACTTACGATCTGAATCAGATTCTTAAAATGATCAAGAAAAACACTTACGGTCAAACAATAATTACGAAATGGACAGAACAAAAATATTGACTAAAGGAAAAAAATCATTTCAAAAGAAAAACTTACTATCTGAATCAACTTCTTCAAATGAGTAACAAAGTATGTTTCCTTTTTACTGTTTGCCTTTATGTGTTTTTGTTATCAGTTTCCTTTGTTGCGTTCTCGCTGCTCACAGCTTTGCTCTCACTACCAGATTTGCACTTACACTTTCTGGCTTTCTCCTTTCCAATCCCTGAGTGTTTGGTTGCAATTTTGACACAACCCTTTCATGTGGGTGGGACTTCTGAAAAGTCCTCTCCCATAGAGCTCTGGACCCCACGTGACTCTCAGTTAGTGGACGCCATTTTGGCATGCAAAAAAGGTAAACAAACACGGATGTAACCATGAACATGAACGGGATCCGCTTGGATTTTACTTCGTCGGAGTTTACTTCACACTTTAAAACAGAAGAAATCGTTTTATATAGTCAGAAATTAAATAGACTAAACATCTCCGACCCTTACCGTGCCCCTGGGATACTTTTTAAAAACGCCAGAAGCTGTCGGAGCGGACTTCTTACCGGCACAACACCGGACCTGGCCGGGGGAACCCCTTGGGATTCCCCCGGCCGGAGGAGCTGGGGAGAAGGTCTGAGACTCTCGACTCTACTGCCCGCTCCGAAGCCAGAAGCTGTCGGGATTCCCCCGGCCGGAGGAGGCTGGCTCCGGCGGCTGGGGAGAGGGAAGTCACGCTACTGCCCCCGCAACCCGACTCCGGATACGCGGATGAAAATGGATGGATGGACGGACAAATAACAGATTTACACGTAAGTAGTCTCGGTGAGACAGATAATAGCAATCCAAAGTGCTTTTTATGTGTGATCTGACAATTGATCAACCATTGCTTAAAAATTAAATACAGCTTAGCCGGTTAATTGCTGTGATCATAAAACACGTAAACGGCAGCACGCAGAACTCACGAGGCAACGTTTTACGTGATGTTTACTTGTTGCTATGAGTAATAAGACAGAAAAAGCCACGCCATAATAAGTTTAGGAAGCCCACAAAGAATCATAATAAAAGCATTTAAAATAAATACCATACACAGTGTAGGAAACGTTGGTTTAAGTACCTGATATGAAGTGGTCGCTGCATAAGTGAAAACCTTTACTCTCGGGATCCCACAGCTTCATTTTAGCCCGGTCACTAGCGCATTTTATTACAATGATCCAACGTTTGCGGCGCTCCGGATCTTGGGGAATCCTGTAGATGGCTCATTCCTTATGTCGTCCGCGTCTGTTCTGCATCCTGGGGCACAACAGGAATCTACCATATTTCCCGTTTGATTGAATTTTCTGACAATAACAAATAGTCCAGCTGCCGGCTTCTGCATGCCAATATGGCGCCGTTTCGATTTGAACTGTTGCATGCCGGGAGAAGTGACGTCAACTCCTGGAGCTCTATAGGACAGTGGTTTCTCTAGAGTGACAGTTCAGTGACCTGGAAGTGATGTAGCCTCCAATGCTTTTTTTCCCCCCACCTCAGTCAACAGCATGAATTTTGAGCCCCAAACACATTATTTCTGCTGTCTGTGGTGTCTACTGAGGATCTAAAGTGAGTATTGATAATATATTTTATCTTTTCTTAGTTAATCTGTAAGTTAAGCCACTTTTTAAGTTGATTTTAACCAGATGTTAGCTCACTAGCTAGCTGCTAAGCAAGCCATTGTGCTAGCCTCAAGGCTAGCACAATGGCTTGCTTAGCAGCAACTCATCTTAACATATTCATTACTGGTTTCATGGAATTAATTATTGCAGTTTATGTTAATACGTTTGCTAATTTTTCAGGAATCTGTGGAACGTCAGAGACTTTGCAGCTACTGGAGCTAACCTGTGTACAGCTAACTCGCTACAGAGGAAGCAGCAGAAAGCTGAGCTAACAGGCTGTTTTGCAGGTAAATAGTCTTTTAGTGGAACTGCAGGATTTTTATGGTATAACCCAGACAGAATCTACATGAGCTATTGTGGGAAGACATTTAAACTACATTTACATTCAGATACATTTTTTATTCCATGTTACTTGGACGGGCTAAACAAGTTCATAGTTCTGCCTGTTCCTTTTTCAGTGAAACGAATGGATTATATGATGTAACTCTGACTGAATAATTATCTATGTGAGT